AATAAGCTGGTACTCCCAAGCATGAATGACTTTTCCACACGCATGATGACTAGTTGTTTCAGACATCAATTTATTTAATTAATGCTTAATTCAGTTAAGCCAGGAGCCCAGAGGTTACAGTTCAGAGTACCAGGTTTCGAGCAGTGAGGTGCCCCAGTTTCTGGACGACTAGGCGAGGAGGACAGGCAGTTGAGCTCAGTAAAATAGGAGCAGTGAGTTGCGGGTTCGATATCGCAACAAGCTGTTAATGTTTTGGGATGCTAAGAATCGGCGACGGGCCTACGGCCTAATAAACGCTGGAACCGCTATTAATTTTATTGCATATATTATTATTTGAATGCATATTATTTTAAAATAAGGAAAATAACACCTCATACTACTACCTAGGTCGCTTTAGTATTCACTATTTTCCGTGTAAACGGCGAGAGTGTAGCACATCCGTAAGTTGCACATATACCACAGTTAGTTATAATTACAGTGACAGAAAAAAGAACACCGAAAAGCCATTGCAACCGAAGTATAAAATATAATTGCTCTGGGATATCTAAGTAGGCTATCTAAAGAAATTAACATTAGGACAGTTTACGTGCCGAAGACAAGCGAGTCGATCTAAATTTAGTTCAGTAGATTTAATAAATAAATAAGGCAGTTGCGTCGATTAACCTCATTGATTTCAGTAGTTATTGATAGGGTACAAATAATTTAAAAACTTTAAGATAGGAGGAAATTAAGTCACAGTTATTCAGAGATCACGGACATGCAAATTGAATATTAAAATATAATTTAGTCCATGCATAGACTCACGTCTTTGGGGGCTCAGCAAGACATACACTCAAAACATGGATGGGCCATGTTGTTCAAATAGTGACGCACTTGCGGCGTGTAGCAGAGATACGTTCTTTTTCCTAGCACAGACACGTCCTTAACCCCACAACTGAGACTCACAGTCAGGCACCGCGAGCTCAGCGGTGGGGCGCTCAGGAACAATGCCCCTAAAGGCGCTAAATCCCATAGGCCTTCTGACGAGCACAGACACGCGTCAGTAGTCCCCTCTGAGAGGTCAAGTAATCGATAATCCTATCCCTCACAAGGGATTCCTTTACCTTACAAACAACACTTGTAGTGTTCACAGGGAGATAGTTGACCGGGCAACTCTTGTAACTTTTTTTGAACATTGGTGTCACTTGAGCTTCTTTCCAGTCAGGCGACAACGTTTGTTCTTTCCAGTTTTTTTTTCTGAAAAAATACAGTCAAAGGGCCAGCCAGGATTGTTGCTAATTTTTTTAGTAATCTGGGGTGGAAGCCATCAGGTCCAAATGACTTGCTGGAATTCCGAGAGACCGGCGCTTGAGAAACTCTTCTTCGTGTATTTCAAAACTTGTTAACTTCGAGCTCACTGGGTGCTCTTCATATAAATCAAAACTGTTCAAGCTTTCGTCCGTGAAAACGCTGCTAAAACTGATTAATAATACTTGTCTAGCCTTCAACAGATAACAATTTGCGCTGATATACTTTTAAATCACAAATACTGTCCTCTGTTTCAGACTTCGAGCTAATGATCTGGGCGCTACTCAATAGCTGGAATACTGTTAAAGTCCTTATCCCTGAATACGCTACAAAATAATTGATACAGAATGTTAGCCTTGCCCTCAGCAGAGGATATCTTTCGCTGAGCTACTTTCAACTCAGCCTCTGAGATACCATCGTTTGTCATAACACTTCGAGCTAGCGAGTCATGCTACAAATATGGCTCATTGCGTCCTCCAACGATGGAAGTTGCAGTTGGTGTTCGTCTTGGGTCACAAGTGTTGTACAGTTTCCAATATATATATACGAAAATAAGCATGTACATGACGCATAATTGTTATAAATGATATCATTAACGATTAATAAAGTTATAGAAAAAGTTTCTTCGCTGATAAACAGATTTTTAGGCGATTAAAAAAAGTTATTGAGTGGCCAACAAATCTAAACGCAGTGAACCAGCCGAGTTGGAATGCGCGTTGGATAGCATATTTGTTCGTATTGCCTCCAATTTCTCCTACCCACACCCTAGAAATAGAATTTTATTGTCATGAATTGCAGTTGGAAGAAAATCTTGCATGGCAGAGCATACAACCTTTCGTGAGCAGGAAATTTTCTCCATTATTATTACGGAAGAACTCATTGCTTAATTTTGTATTTAGTTACCCATCATGTATTTGTATAATAAATTTACCATATATGGAAGATTTTCCCTGAATAAACATACCTTAGAATCTTATTTGAAGTTTGATATACATTTGCTTACCGATAAATTCCAAAATTGAAAAATTCTGGATTTGATACTTGGGAAAAAAAACCTTAAATGAACAACTTAAATCAACAAAAGTGTTGCGAGAGTGTGGTCCGCGAATGATTTCGAATAGATTATGCGTATTTTATTTTCCATATACATAATTACAAATTTTTGTGGGCACCGGGCCTCCTAGAGTTAAAGTGAAAGACGTTAGGAAATGTTATGATGTGCGTAATCTTAGTATCCTCAGTAACAAACTTTTGAACTTTTGCGCCTCACTCTGGCCGACGTAACAGTCCCAGGCCACAATGGATCGCCGCCACACATGTCAGGCCATGGATCACTACTCTCCATTGGATCACTACTCTCTACTGGATCACTACTCTCTACTGGATCACTACTCTCTACTGGATCACTACTCTCTACTGGATCACTACCCTCTACTGGATCACTACTCTCTATTGGATCATAAGAGAGATAACCTAGTGATGAGAGATAACCTAGTGATGAGAGATAACCTAGTGATGAGAGATAACCTACACTTTTAATAAATGCATTTCTTTCACTATTTTTTTGTACAGAGATAAGTTGGCTTCAAAATTAGATAGCGTTGATGTGAAGCTCGATGCTTTATTTTAAGAGTGATTTTTGATTATTGAGTTTTTCAGTGGGAAATATATGCCTCCAAAGAGATATTCAATATTGTGACTCGGCGTGTGTATTATCCTAATATTTCGAGTTAATTATATCTAATAGAAGTCTAGAACTTTTGGAAGGGAGAACTGCCCGTAGTAGTACGAGGTGCATGGAAGTCGTGGAGTTCAATAGCATCGAGGCTTGGCCTTGTCCATCCCGGTCCATTGAGGCTTGGCCTTGTCCATCCCGGTCCATTGAGGCTTGGCCTTGTCCTTCCCGGTCCATTGAGACTTGGCCTTGTCCTTCCCAGCTTGTGCTGGCTGATGAAATGGGTGGCCTGACACCTCATCATACGAGCAATTGCATCACTATAGCAATTCAGCATTGGGACATTGCATAATTATAGCAATTCACCATAAAAACACAAGAACATGTAGGTTAGGTTTGGTAAAATTTGTTATGGATGAAATGTTCCGATGATGGATTGCTAGAGTGATTAAATGTCTCGTGTGATGTGGTGTCTGGAAATGGATGGGATGAAGTCTATTCATCCAGCGACACTCTCGAGCCATTAAAATATATGATACAATAATAGCTGTTTCAGCGTTGATCAGGCCGTAGACCTGTCACCGATTCTTATCATCGCGGAACATTCACAGCTTGTTGCGGGTCTCGAACACGCAACTCACTGCTCCTGTTTCTGTTCTTACTCGCCCGGCCACCTCGCCGACTCCTGACCGGAACTGTAGCAGGTAGCTGTGATCGAACCTGCACCTCTCTGCTCCAATCCTGGTACTCAGGGCCTATACTTTTAAGAAAAAAGTTAAGAGATCGTAAGTTCATCAGCCAATCATTGACGACCTTTCCAGCAAAATTCACCAATCATAGACAAGAAAATAGAGCGTAAGTACTTACGTTCACTTAGCAGGTTTTGAAAGTATGGCCCCTGCTGAACTGTAACCACTGTGCCACCCATGCCATTGGATAAGTCTGCAAATTTATATCGAGTTATCACAGTAGGGAAATGTCAGCATTTGTCTTGAGTTTGGCCGGAGCTTTGTACAAAACATATTCTGGAAAAGGGGTCATAATAATTAAACTCGCATCAATTCAAGTTGAAAAGACTTCTTACAAGTTAACCACATCACTGATCTTCTCTTTGTAAGCCTTACTCGTTCTCTAGTCAACATCACCTCTTAGCATAGCGACGTCAGCGTTGGTTATAACATTAGACTTGTCGCCGATTCTTAAAATCACAGAACATTCACACCTTGTTGCGGGCCTCGAACATGCAACTAACTGCTTCAATTTTGCTGTGCATAAAGTTGCTCATACACGGAGCTAGTATTAGCTGCGAGTTTTCACACTCCCAGTTTTGCTGGCAGAAAGGGCATACAGGAGTAGAGTATTCGGACCAGGGCCTATACTTTCAAAACTCGCTAAGTGAACGTAAGTACTTACGCTCTATTTTCTTGTCTATGATTGGTGGATTTTGCTTGAAAGGCCGTCAATGATTGGCTGATGAACTTACGATCTCTTAACTTTTTTTGAAAGTATGGGCACATGGGCCTATTTCTTCAGTGCCGACACTTCTATTCTATTATATAGTTGCCACTCTTACCGAGGAGGTGAAAAACTTTGTAGATCAGCGTAGAGTGTGGGTGAGATAACTAATAAGGTCTCATTCATTTCATTGTTCATTGATACAAAACTGAAAAAATCCTTCGTGGAGAATAAGTCGCACATTGCTGAGTAATTAGGTAAATTAAGTTACTATCCGTCGGGTAAAAATTACCATGATAATATTATGGCAAGGTAAATTTTTCTTAGATTTTATATCTTACTACATGTACATGACATGTTACATTCAAGTTATATCTTGCAACATGTACATGACATCGCTTGGGATACGCGTTCCAAGTTCAAACTTCAACTCGTCTGTTAAAAGTCGACTTTCTGTAGACGGTTCACTAGCTGGTGAATCGAGGGGTAGTGTGGTGCTGTGTTGACAATTAAAAAATATTATTCATAATCAATTTAATATTTACATTTTTGAAATGTATTGAATGAAATAAAATGAACCGCAGGGGCCGAATAATTATTTTATTTTATTATCTGTACAAGCGTGTAATTATTTAGTGAACATAATAATGTTTACTTTAACGCATTCACTCACAATATTTAATACCATATCAAAACCAGCGACTGTGATGACATTGAAATAATAATGACGTTAGAATAACGAGTGGTTATATGACGTTATTAATAACGTTATAATTTTGTCGTTATTATAATGACGTTATAATATAATAACGGTATAATATATTCGTTATTATAATAACGATAATATATTCATTATAATAACGTGAATGGGTGAAAAGCAATTGAGTGCACGCCATAGGTGAGTCAAGGCACTCCTCCTGCAGCCACGTTATGTTACTTATCATTAATTACTAAGTAATTATTGCTCTATCAATAACAGTAGTTGATATCAGGTGCCTTAAACGCTCACAAGTTTATGTATCAAACAAAAATTATGGAAAAGAAAAATTTACCGCCATTTCTTACAGAAAAATGTCGCTAAATTACAGCCACTGCTAGTAGACACATAGAAAATAATGATCTTGTATAAAGATAAACTAATTATCATTGTATTTATCAATTTTAAGTATTTTTTATTTGCATAAACCTACACTTAAGCTCTAAGATTGCAACGTCTGTCATGACGGCGACACCATCACGACTAATTAAGTCTTACCAATACGTGATTAAAGTTCATCTAAGATCTTCTGATAATAACAAATAATAATCTCCTTAATATCAATAACTAAACTACTAAACATTTTTTTCTTTTATACGAGCGACGAAATCAACTGGAATTAAAACGAATAACAAATTGTCAAGCCTGCGTTACTGCCAATGGACGAAGTTTATTTTAAGCTAAAAAAATACATATAACGTTCATAATTAAATGGACATTTAGCCTTCAAATTAAAGTAAAATGTAATAACTTGAACACATTTTTCATCTGCCAAATTCACGTTTTTTATTTCGCCTGTTAACGCGAATTTATTTCGCATATTATTTCGAGGTTCCCGAGAGCGGAAAACCAAAGCACGAGCGTTCAGGTTTACTTAAAAAAATAATCATTAGAAGTCAGTTAAAATCAAGAGAATTTTTAGGTTAAAATAACCCCCTTTCACGAAGCACCGCTCAAATAATCGGGAATTTCAGTCTAGATCCAGACTGTCCCAGCGCTTCCGAGCTTCTGAATCATGTTTCCCAGTTCCACTTCCAGCGGCCGGCTCATTTTCTTCATTCTTATCTTTGTTATCTTTACTTACACATGAACTTTGTTCTGTTATTCCACTTCCTTTATCTTCTCCCGTATCTTTACCCGCACTTCCGTCGAAGGTCACACTTTCTTCACCCTTTTTATCAGCTCTTCCCCCTTCAATTTTTTCAACATTCACGTCTTCAATTTCAGATCTGGATTTTTTTCCCGAATCCTGGATCGGATTTTTTACTTTGGTCTCAAATTCCGCGGAATTCGACGACACGTCCGCTAATTTTTCCGGTTTTTCAGTCGACGTCTCAGGTTTCAATTTGGATTCATCGGCGTTTTCAGGAGAAATTTCAGCATATTTGACGGATTTATCAGGGCTGAGGGCTGTAGGGTCGATGCTAGGGGTTGTGGGGTTGGTGCTAGGGGCTGTGGGGTTGGTGCTAGGGGCTGTAGGGTTGGTGCTAGGGCTTGTGGGGTTGGTGCTAGGGGCTGTAGGGTTGGTGCTTAGGCTTGTGAGGTTGGTGCTAGGGTCTGTAGAGACCGCGCTGGGGGAGGACATATGGCGGGGACTAAAGGCCTGCTTAAGGCGCTGCTCGGCCATGTCGAAGTAGAACTCCCCGAAGACGGCGCGGTTGTGCTGCGTGAACCGCAGGAACCCGCCACAGATGCGCGCCACTTCCTCCTGTGGTGCGAGTAGCGGTTAGCTCAGCAGCAGGATATATGCATTATCATCGATCATTAAGCAGCAGGATATACGAGTCATTATTACCTATCATATGAGCAGTATTATCACCCATCATTCCATCATTAAGCATCAATTGTTTATGGTGCAATTACTACCACATAAACTTAGCCATCATGTCAGCACCGACACACTAATATTTCTCCCTGTAAAAGATGTTCACGAGGCCAGAAATAAACAGCGCTGGCAGCTCACAGAGACGAAGGCCGGTTAGACGAACAGAGACACCGTAACGGCCCATGACCCACCCTAAGTACAATGACCTACCAGGAGGACAATTGACCCACCTGCAGGACGCAGAAGGGCGCGGGCAGGGCAGTGTTGCGGGCGCCGCTGGTGTTGCTGAGGACGAGGCTGAGGAAGGCGAGGCAGCGCTCCGTCAGCAGCGTCGTCACGCGGTGCCCCGGCGCCCGCAGCTCCCCCAGCTGACAGCGCACAGATGCCCTCATGCTGGGGGACAGTGTAGGGGCCCCAGGGGGGCTGGGGGACAGTGTAGGGGCCCCAGGGGGGTTGGGGGAGGTGACTTCTGCAGGGGCGGCGCCCCCCCGGCGCGACATGAAGCGCTCCAGGGTGACCAGCACTTGCTCTGTCAGGTTAGGCAGCGCCTCCAGCGTCTCCCTTTTAGATAAGTAATATTTATTAATATTAAATAACCGGTATTAAATAATAAATAACTTTCATTAAATAATAAATAACCTTTATTAGGTAATAAGTAATTTTTGGTAAGTAATAGGTAACATTTATTAAATATTCAATTCTCTAGGGTAGAGGCAATCAAGCTTGAGTCATAAAGAAAAACTAGAACATATAATAGAAGGTAATGCTAATTATAAGTTAGTTGGTACTATTAGCTAATAATTTCCCAATCAATTTTGCATAAATATTGCAGTAAAACTGCCAATGACAATAATAATAATAACAATAATAATGCCGTGGGTGCTCACTGTTGCGTGTAGGCGGGGTCGAGTATGGGGCAAAGGTCGCGCTTGAGCTCGGCGCGCAGTGCGTCGTGGGACGCGGCGAGGGGAGGGTGTGCGTGTGTCGCTGTGTTGAGCGTCACCAGCAACACGGCCGACAACAGGCACACCTGGTGCAGGCGGTCACGCAGCTCCAGCACACGCTCACGGTCCACGCACACCGTCTGGACATAAACAAATCTTTTAAATATTTGCTCAAGTTATCGAGGCCTGAGACACAAAAATACTAGATTTTTTGCATGCCCTATCAGTTATTATAAATAACTTTTAGCGGTTCGAGGAACAGTCGTCAAAGCTATAAAATTCGTCTGTTTATATATTTGCACTGTAGTAAAATATTCTCCTTAAGAGTGTCCCACTACTTCATACCGCGAAGACATCGTACCTCAGGCAGGAGCTCATCCTGCGGCCACTGCAGCAGCTCCATGTATGCGTTGTTAAGGGCGTTGTTGCAGAAGGCGCGCAGGGCTAAAGGATCCTCGAGGAGGGGCGGGGCCTGAGAGAGTTGCCGTGTGTCGCTAGCCTCATTTTTGGGAAGGGGCGGAGCCTGCGAGGGTTGCCGCGTGTCGCCAGACTCTTTGTTTTGACGCAACAAGTTGTCGACGTGTTTGAGCACCCACGCACGTGTCAGCTCCAGCCCGTCCTGCTGGGTTGCTAGGAACTCCTTGAACTTTTTGCGTTCATACTCGACGATCTGAAATAGAAGAGAAATTGTAACAAACCATCGCATTATCAAAGAAAACGTTTACATTTGCTCGTGGATATTAGCGAAATACGGAAAGTGAAAAAAGTAACGAAACTCGAACATCTACAAGTAAATCTTAATAAATTGTGCCAGTGACTTGCAATATACTGTAAGAGGTCCATACAGAAGTGTGTAAAAAAATTAGTTCCTAGAGCACTATTTCTTTACGGTAGACATAAACGGCCACTTGAGTGGCTCATTTCCCATCCCTTACAATGAAAACAAAAACAAAGCTCTTAAAATTGGCTCTCATAATACAAGTTGAGGTGGATTTAAGCAAGACTTAATGTTCCTCGGAAGAATAGTGATGTACCCACACAGAACAACAGTGATGCTTCAACATCGTCAGCCGGCAGGCATGTAAGTAATAGTACTACACCATCACGTCACTTTCTACGCTGACGACCTCAACATTTTCGTCCCTTTCTGGGGCCGAACGCTGCAGAAGAGGGCCAAGCTTCTCTCGGGTCTTCCTATTTACTGCTAAAAAATAGTTGGCTGTAGGTCGGGCTAATCCTACTAAACCTCCTCCCAACAACCAGAAAAAGAGGCAAGACGACGGCCGTCCTTGTCTGAGCTAGAAGGATAGCCAGCGAACCAGGAGGTAATGGTCAGAGTCAGGGGAGGAGGAGGAGCATGGCTGGGTCAACGCTGACGAACGCTGCAGGGGAGGATGGCTGGGTCAACGCTGCAGAAGGAAGCTGTCACGAGGGAAAGACGGAAAAGGGCAGAAGGCGGTGGCTATCTGGTCGGACGGCGGTGAGAGTATTGGTAGAACCAAACACTTGTGAATCTAACCATTCAGATTTTATAGCAACACCACTCACATGCCTGACGATGGTTGGTCTGATCATCTGGATGGTACAGCACCACTCACATGCTTCACGATGGTTGGTCTGATCATCTGGATGGTATAGCACCACTCACATGCTTGACGATGGTTGGTCTGATCATCTGGATGGTATAGCAC